GGGAAAGAAACTACAAAAATATGTTTTAATAATTACAAATATAATCTGAATAAATAGAGATATTGTCTCCTAAAATATAATAGAGATATTTTATAGCTTTTTTTATTGCTTTGGTTTTCTGCTAATGGCTTTTATAAATTCAATTAAATTATGTTTTTAGTATGTTATCTTATTTTTAAAATTTATTTTGGTCCTTTATATTTTAAAAGATTTATTTTAGTCTTAATGAAATAGAATTTTGAATACTTATTTTAAATGTTTAAGACATAATTTTTTCCCATTAGATTTACTTGCATAAAAATTATGAAACACAATTGATGTTTGAACTAAAAAAAGTTATAGTGTAAATCACATAAAAGAATAAATCTCTCTAGGAATTAAAAAAAAAATCCAATAATTTTTTTGAATTTTTTGTTGCTTGTTAGATTCATTTTAACATGAATTTTTGTTATGCTTATGATTTTTTTTATTCGAATATCAATTGTGTTCAATAGTTTTTATGTAGGTGAATCTGATGAGAGAAATTTTTCATCCTAAATAAGTCAGAATGATTTGAAACCGAAAATGATCAAAAGGACCAAAATGATTCAAATTTTAAAAACAAATAACTAAAATAAATCTTTTGAAGGATAATAGACTAAAATGAATCTTAATAATAAGATAAATGATAAAAATATAATTTAACCTATGTATTCTCATCGTAAAGTATTGTTTCATCTTAGTTTTACAGATTATTTTTTATTTTATTTTAGTGTCTCACCGGATATTATTTGAACAGCTCATAATTTATTGATTGTTGATGCCCAGCGTGAAAATGAAACCACATTTTTAATGTCTCGTAGATGCATAATTCGAATTATTGAGCATGACTTTACCACTTAATTAAAACCATTATTGATTTCCATTGAGTATTTCTCCCGCCCATTCCTTTTATGATACCATGGTGGTAATGTGAGGACTTATATGCCTTAATTATCGTAGTTTATCTACAAATAACGTCATACAGTAGGCCATTGATATCCAACATTGCTAGGGCTTGTTTACGTAAGCTTTTTGAAAAATGATAAGAAAAAAATGAAATGAACTTCTTTATAAGTATATATGCTAATTTGTAGAAGCTCTCTCTTATAAATTTCTTTAAAATCATATTTTTAACTTTTGCATAAGTTAATTTTAGTTTATGAAGAAATTCATTTTTATTTTTCTTTCTTAAAAGTAGTTATGGAGAAATTTATCCAAACAAGTCATATGTATCTGTAGTTAAAGGCCAATGCTGGTATCTCGTATCTTATGTCTCTCTGTTTTTGCTTATTTTTGTTATTCCATTGCCGGAAGACTTGAACAGCCAATAAATTTTAAACATATTTACCAGCTATTCATCCCGTTTTTCCATATGATTACATCTCCAATGTTAGAACCCATTTTGGGTTCTTACTATATTTTTTATGGGCTCCTTAATATCATGTAAGATTTAAGAACTTTTTCTATTTTTTCTCCGATGAAGGAACTTGAATTCTTAATTGACTTTATTTGTGTTCCATGATGAATTGATTTTCTTTGTTTTTTTTTTTTACTACAAGTAACCGGTTCTTGCAAGTTCTTATAAGAACCGGTTCTACATGTGGCAGCCAAGTCACTCCATTCCAATAATGAAAAAAAATAAGAACCAATTCTTATTTTAAGAACAAATACAAGTACTTCTTATCGGAGACCTTTATGTTTAATATGTCATGTTTTTGTCATTTTTAAAAATAAGTTTTCCTGTTTCATGTTGCAGTGGACCCGATGAATATTCTTCCGTCAATAGTATACAAGCTACTGTTACAAGAAGTCTTGCCACCAAAGAGGGAACACCACTGAATTCAGAAAATAGTAAGTAGTGCAACAGCCAGCCAATCAGCAAATGGATCTTGTGGCTGATATTTTATTTTGGTATATTACAGGCATGGCCTAATGCCTATTAAAAATACTTCTAACACTTCATCAAACGCTGAAGTATATAGAGTTCTCTACTTGTTACAGATAAAAAACATAAAAATAACATGTGAATATGACGTGGGAATACAATTTAATTCAATTTAATTCGCAAAGTAGGGCATCCTAATCCGTACTTAAGAGATGTTGTAGAGGCAACAATCACTGCCACAAAAATAACAGCAATATTTAGTTTTCTGCTACTTGTTGATTTATCATGGTTTACAGGGTTCACTTGTATGTATGTAGTATGTCATTTTGCATGTTCTCAATAATGTGAAAATTTTGGTGCAGCAAATGTAAACGAAAGGGGAAAATATACAGAGACACCAGCTTCAGGAGTTGTCAATACAAAAACATATGCTGTAAGTCTTTCCCTGCTATATTTTGATGCCCCCTTTAGTAAATTTGTATTTTGTTGTTTTTGAATTTTAGTTGCTTATTTCCAGGTCAGAACAAGACGGAAAGTATAAATGGTATGCCGTGTTCCCGCCTTCAGTTACAGATACTGGGCTTTAAAGACTGCATTAAAAAATAGTTACTATAGCTCATGTATGAATTAGTTTTTAGTGCTACACGTCTCTCGAAAGTCGAACCCCAAAATTGTGGGGTTAATCATTATTTTTTGCACTGTCACATACTGCGGCATTCCCCGTATCGGCAAAATCAAGAGCTTGTGTTTATACATTTTCCACCTGTTTATATTTATACATTTGTTATGTCTTGTATATATTTAGATTTAGATACGATATTGTAAATTGTTTTAGCCCAGGTTGTTGTCTACACGAAACCAACATTTTAACTTGCTAAGAGAAGCAATGTTAGGATGAGTAAATAAAGGGCAACCTCGTAAATTAAAACTGTTTTAGTATTGTTTTGTCTATTTACACATAATTCTAAAGTGGACAAGTAAAGAATTGTTTTAGTATAACTTCAATTATAATTATATTTAAAATCTTTTAAAAAATTCTTTAACAATATAAAATTAAATGAACTAGAATGTATATTTTAACAATTAAATGGAAGGACATTGTAATGCTTAAATTTTTCAAGAGGATATGAAATTTACTCTTAATTATAATCTATTTTTATTGTGAAATAGTAGAATGAAAGTTTATATATATGATCATTTTAGGGTTCACAGACATTGCATATAATTTATTTTATGAAGTCAAGCAATATTTTGGGTTTCACATATCTTACATTTTTTTATGATGAATAAATTTTTTATATAATTAAAGTAACTACTTTTTTCAATATTAGCGTTAGAGATAATATTAAAAGGTTTTTACTTCAATGTTCCTTTTATGTTGATCAAATTATTCATCAAATATGAATAATTGAATTTTTTTTTGAATTTTGGGATAAGGATAACATTTTTGGACTCACACCCAACATTCTTGTAATGATTAAAAAAATTGTATTAATAAAACAACCATATTTTTTTTAATATCAGTGTTGTGGACAACCTTAATAGGTTTGAACTCATGCATATCATATGTTTGATCATATATTTTAAGCAACCATGTTTTTTTGATGTCTGAGTGAGATAATAAAATGTTTATACTTTCATGTCATATATCAATGAAACTATAAAATAAGGACAAGCAAATTTTTTTGAATTCAAGGACATAACATAATTTTAGGGCACATATACCCTACATTTTTCAATATTCATTAAAAAAAAATCATATGAGTAAAAAATGTCACATTGTTTCAAAACTAGGATCGGAGATAACTTTAAAAGGTTTATACTCCAATATTCATCATATGTCGATTAAATTACACATCAAATATGGACAATTAAGTTTTTTCGAATTCTAGGACAGGGGTAACATTTTTGGGTTCACATACTGTACATTTTTTCTTGATGAGTAAAAATTTATATAATTAAAGCAACCATTTTTTTTCAACATCAAGATGAGGACAACCTTAAAAAGGTTTATACTTACATATTCTTCATATATCAATGAAACTACTCATAAAATAAGGGCAATCAAGTATTTTCGAATTCAAAGACATAGACAACGTTTTAGGGTTCATACTACATTTTCCTATATTGATTAAAAAATTCATATCCATAAATCAACCATATTAATTTGATATTAGAATTGACGACAACCTTAAAAAGTTTATACTCCAACGTTTATCATATGCCGATTAAATTATATATCAAATGTAGATAACCAAGTTTTTTTTTTTTTTTGAATTTTGAGACAGGGACAACATTTTTTAACTTACATAGTACATTTTTTCATGATGAATAAAATTTTTATATTATTAAAGTAATTACTTTTTTCAACATCAAGATGAGCGACAACTTAAAAAAATTTATATTTTCATGTTCTTCATATATAAATGAAATTACTCATAAAATAAAGACAACCAAAATTTTCCAAATTCAGAGATGTGAACACCATTTTAAGGTTCATTTAAGGCTCGATGTTTCTTGCCAAACTCAATGATTTAACCCAAAAGTTCTTCCTACTCGTTTTTGTCTCTGTACACTACAGAAGAACCTTGGAGCAACCCATTCCCATCGCTCCCAAAGACTCCGCTCAAATGGGTCGTGACCCTTTAAACGGAAGGGCATTTACTACATGGGTTTGAATAATGAAACCCAAACTTTTGCCAAGTGCCCTTTATATAAACACAATCTAGAATCGCAGACCAATATCCGTTAGTTGTTTAGTTTAATTTTAATTACCTTTTGTTTTTTAAATTCAAAGTTACCTTTTTATTGTTTATAAGGTCAAAATTTATAATTTTTGGTTTATAATGTATCTATTTTTTTTTTTGGCCTCAATAAACTTTTTTTAAACACGATCTTTATCAAGTTTATTTTTATATTTTATATTCTTGAAATTTTATTTTAATCTTATAATATATCTTTTTTTACTTTAATTTTTCATTCATTTTAAGTTAGTCTCTTAATAAATAATTTATAAAAAATTAAAATAAATTATTCATAAATTATAAAAACAAAATTAGTACTTTTTTTTTGGTAAAAAAATAGTATAGTACAAAGTCTAAAACAAAATACTGAAGACAGAAATAAAGAAAAAAATACAAGAGTCAACTTAAAAATAATAATTTATAAAGACTATATAAAAAATAATAATTTATAAAATTAAGTAGCAATGCAACTACAAGTGTATCTAAGCTAAACTTTATTAATATATATTTATTAAAAAAATAATTTTAATTTTAATCTTTTCTCTTCAAATTTTTTTTATTTGGTTTTCAAAATTAAGAGATGGAATGTTTTTCCTCCATATTTCAATTGTTTAGGGTCTAATTAACTATTGTCTGATTTGTAAACAATAATACAACTCTTTCTCTTTTAATTAATAGTATTTAATTTATATGTTACAAATATATGTATATCTCTTTTAATTGTCGGATGACACATATAAAGACATAAAACACAGAAACATAAATGCACCCAAACACATTATAAATATAAAAACAAAGACAAAGGCACAAACACAAACACAAAGCAAACATACATAGAGATAAAGTATAGTCATACACAAGTACATAGATAAAGCACAAACTCATATTTTTAAAATAATCAGAAAAAAAAAAAGTGTGAAACAATACAAAAGATATCAAATTTTAGAGTCACAAAACAATACACACATATACTTCAAAAACAATATATGACAAAAATGTACAAAGTTTGCACAACTAATAATGGGAAACTATTACTGAGATCAAAGCCAAAAACTTAGGCTATGAATCATGATCCAACAGGAAAAACAAAATCAATAAGTGGGGAACTTTGAGCTTTTGCTTAAGGGAATTTTAAAGTTAATGAATGTGTACCAACAAGTTGTTGACAAAATGGTAAGGATGGATAAAAAAAGAAAAATTGAAGACAATGAAATAGAAGAGAATAAAATTAAGGTGTATCGATAAACCTTAAAAATGGAGTGTTTGAGAAAAAATTATAGTCTCTTTTCCTAAAGTACAGTTAATTCAAGTATGTAAAATGTGCAATATCAATACATACACACATAAAGGGAAAAAATTAACACAGTAAATGAAAACATTAACATGGTAAAGGAGTATTGATCGAAAATTGTGTTAATTGAGTAACATATACATAAATCTCAAATAAAATAAATCAACAGTAAGAGTACAATTTGCATATTTACATTGAATTATTAAAGTAAATGACAAAAAATAATGATGAAAAATGTATGAACAACTACAATCCTCCCCATAATTTTAATGTAACCATAAAAAGAACAATACATGTATGAATCCAAACAACAAGAAAATTCAAAAATATAAAATAAAAAAGAAACGGCAAATGTAGTGACAAACTAACCGGGATATGCTATCTTGATGTGTTAGCTAGGGTTTTCTTGTAGGTTTTAAGGTGGAATGGATTTTGAATTCTTATGATTAAGGACTTTTTTACTACAATTAATGAAGTCTAGTTACATATATTTTGTGTAAATAAGGATCATTAATAATAAGTATCATATGTGCCCTATAAAATAAATAAAAGAAAATAAATATCAAAGCCTACAAATCCCGAAAATATGTAGAACAATTCTTTCTCAACGTTTCAAACAAAAAATCAAAAGACATTGAGATATTACATTATTGCACTATTTTTTTTTTACATTTATAAAAAAAATAAATTAGGAAGAGTATTATAAAATTAATAAAATTTAATACAAATAATTATTTTTTAATATACATAAAATCATGTATTTTTTTATATCTCTTTTACTATATATATTAATTTCTTTGAAGACATTTTTAATAGTTAAAATTTATTAAAATCAGAAGTTTATAAAAAAAAATCATTAAATAGGATATAAAACTGTAAATTTTTTGATTTTTAATGAATTATATATTATAAGATAAAAGGGATCAAAGTGTTATCACAATTTCTCTTTTTCATATTCTCGTATTCAATCTAATGCATTCATTGAGATTGCACTCCATAAGCATACTTCCTTATATGGGTCATTCTTGTTTTTAACTTCAGCAACAATTCTTGGAGTTATAAATGGTAATCTACTATTTGTTAGCAGTAAATATTGTATGTTCCTCAAAAGCTAAAGGAACTACCAAGTTTTACCCTGATCTTGTTTGTTTATTGAAATAAAAGAAACTGACTACTATTTGTTAGCAATTTTTAAATATATACTATGGACATTCATTAAAACAAAAGGTTTAGTTCCATATTACTGTATATGAATACTTGGGTCAAGACAACCCATTGCTTTCTAAAAGCTTAAGAGGCTCGAACAAAGTTCTTCTCTTACCTTGACCCCCCCTTTTTTTTTCCTTTCAAAAGATTATCATAGTCAATATTGCTGTAATATTTTTTTTTTCAATCATACACCACACAACTTTCCATCCCTTCAGGTAAAGTGCATGGTGAGAATTATAAGGTCTAAATATGCTTTGAATTTTTGCATATATTTTAAATTTATAATTTTACACTATATTTCTAAACAAGAAATCAACCAGACAAAAAGAGCTAGAAACATCAAAGATATATTATATAAGAATGTTGATTTTTCCAACTGACAAGGATAGTTTAATAATGAGGAAAAATCTTGATATTTAAATTTTCAAATGAGGCTAACTTAGAGATATTCTACATTTAATCCTAAATATTAACATGAATATATGATGTGTCAAAAGAAAAAAAAAAACTTTGTTTTTGGGGGAGTTAGGAGGGCATTAAATTAACAAATTTCATTGGCTTCCATGACTTTTTTCTTCTTTTATTTTCAAGAAAACTTCACTGTAATAAAATTAAATAATACCTGAAATTAATTTTCAAGCATGCACTGATATGGTTTTGACAAAGGAAAGCAAAGAGAAAGCTGAGGATGTTTCCTGAATTCATCAATACTAGACATGTGAATGAATACTCTTTAAGGCTGCAAAATACAAAAGCAAAAACAAAATTAAGTCCACAAAACCAGGTCACAAAATATAAAAAGCTGAGAATGCAAACAAACTGAATTCAATCTGTAACATGCCTTGGGATAATTGATATATTACAAGAGCTAGGTTGAACAATAGAGTACAAAGGAAACCACAACTAAAACAAAAACAAGAAAGAAAAAAGCTATGTTCTTATAAAGAAATACAATAATAGGGATCAAAATTATCATCCTTTGAAGAAGATTAAAAAGATAGCCGTTGTAGATCCTTGGCTTTTAGTAAAGGAGTAATATAAATATAGTCAAGACAAACAAAAGCACTATGAAAAGCATACAATGAAATTTATCAATCCCAAGTCATAAATAGAGTAGCCAACCCTAAAAACAAAAGCAATATAGCAGATATTTGAATAGCCATTATACAGAAAGTCTAGATACAAGGTAAATAATTTATTAATTTATATTATACAAATAAAAGGTCATGTATGTCTATAATAGGATGAGACAAAATCCTCTAATATAATAGTCCAATGCTTTCCTAGAGTTGCATAACCAATTGTGATATTAGTACACTAGTCTGTCTTAGTTTATTTATCATATATCTAAGGTGAAGACGCTCAAGATTCAATAATGTGAGAGCAAGAATTTAGAAAAAGTCAAAAATTAATGTATATATCGATGCCTTAGCTCCTATCCAGTATAATTGGGTAAAATCTCTTAGGATTTCAACACTTTTAACTCCTAGTGGCTCCGTTTAGTTGCCTATCATATGAAAATATATTCAAATATCATATTATTTATATGATAAGGATGACATAAAAATAAAAGATTCTCTAAAAACTTAGATGTTTCCATCTCTTCTCAAGTAATTCATTATTTATCATGCCATTCTATCCAATCCATGCATCATAGGTGATATTCAGAAGTCCTATTGTATGCCACCATTTTTTTTTTATATATATATATATATATTTTATTTTTATTTTTATATTGTATGGAGGCATAATTATTTATTTGTAAATGACATATTTACTAAGAATTATTTCTAATTTTTTTATTTTTTATTTTAGTGATTTTATTTTCTTGCAATTAAATTATTTTTAGTTAATATGATTTCTAAATCTCATAATTATTCAGACAATTTTTTTTGTAATTAATATATTTTATTTTTTTATTTTTAAATTTTGGATAAGATACACCACGTAAAATAAAAATGAAATAATACAAAAATTGAAGATAAAAAAATCAATTTCTATTTGAACTTAATATCTATTTTTATCTTTTAAACTTTAAATACCAAATTACACATCATAAAAACTTTAAGGCTAATCTTATCTACTAGTTGTTCAAAAGTTTTATTTGACTTTTTAAAGAGAACTATTAGATTACATTAGCAAACTTGCTCAATAGTTATATCATCACTCTTTTTAAGATTATGAATGAAGAAGAATTTTCATAAAATATGTTTTATTTTCTCTTTTAAATAATTCTTCCTCTAACTTAACAATTGATACAATATCCCCTTCACATGTGATTGTTGATGTCAATTTTACTGAAAATAAACCACAAGTTTAATATATATATTGAATCGTAAATTTTAGTTAAACATATTCATGACCTGCTTATGTAATGTTAAAATTTAGTTAAACACATTCACAAATTTTAATTAAACGCACTCTCCTTCAAGAAATGTACTGTGAAAAGATGAGAAAAAAAATAAAATATCTTAAATAAGAAAATGATAACCTACTTTGAAAATGATAGTGACTTTAAAAGAAATAAAAAAAATAAGATTTAGAGTTTAGATTATAAATTTAGTTACAAAATAAAATATTCATTTTTTTATTATAGTTTAAGTTAGGATTCCAAAAAGTTTTATTTTTTAAATTAAAAAGATTAAAAAAAACTAAAGAGTATTTGTTCCGGTATGCTTAAAAAAGTCTCACATTACTTAGGAGTCGAGGTTAAGGGTAGTTTATAAACACCCTTCCTCCTTAACCCACCGAGACGCCTTTTAAAAGACAAAATTGTGACGGCCCAACGAGCCAAAGCGGACAATACCTCGGATGCGGTGACCCTAACGATGACAGCGGACTTATGGTAGGAACATTTGGCACTAGAAGGAGGGCCTAGGCCACTCTTGCCCCTTAGCATCGACTGGGAGACTTGTTCCGGTATGCCTAAAAAAGTCTCACATCGCTTAGGATTCGAGGCTAAGAATAGTTTATAAACACCCTTCCTCCTCGCCGGGCTCGGGCACCTCAAGCTCCTCCATGTTGTAACGTGCCTTCAGCTCGCGCCATTTGCTCTTTCCCATTAGACCTGCAAACACAAAGAGCCCAACACATAAGAAGGTGAACAAAGACAGAGAATCTAATAACTCGAAACGACGAGATACTCACTCTCCAAACCCCTCTCCTTATTCGCCAAGTTAGCAAGCAAGAGGACAGGACGAGCTTGTAGTCTAAAGGACGAGGAAGCGCGGCCAAGTCGGTGATGGAAGTAGTATCGGAATCCAACAGTTGAAGGCTGCTCGACCCATTAAATTTGATCGAATTCTCTTGCTAGAAAAGGGGAAACCTCGCTAGACCTCCGAAGTGGAAGACTTCGTCGACCAGCGGGTCAGCCTCAGCAGGCCGAACTCGGAAGAACTCCTTCTTGAAAATCTTATACGACTGGGAATAAAGTTGGAACAACCTCCCAGCCTTACTCCCACTTAGAGACACCCAACCCAGGAGAGGTTCGCCCAATTTGAGTTGATAAAAATGAAGAAAAAAGGGCAACGACACCCCTATCCTCAAGGCTGAGCACAAAACTTGGAAAGCCCTCAAAAAACCCCAACTATTGGGGTGCAGTTGGTAGGGGGCCACATTGATAAAGTTCAGAAAATCACACTCAAACTGCGTAAAGGGTAAACACACACCCAGATCTCGGAAAAAAACATTGGTACATATAGAAAAAGGGGGTATTCGGAGTACCCGCCATATACACACGCTCACCAGGTTGGCAGGGCTCAACCCGGATGAGCTTGGAGATGGACGACTTACGGATTTTATGCGATTTCCACATCACATTTACGTCAAGGAACGACCTGAACACGCTCTCAAACTCTCCAACATCCCCCCTAACCCACTCATACCCAAGGACAGAGATGGCGGGGTGCGAGTCCTTGGGGTTGTTACCCCCCTCTTACCCTTAGGCTCGCCACCAGTGGCGGACATTTTCGCCTTACCCTTCCTTTTAGCCTGCCCAGCCGCGGCCTTAGGGGGAATCGAACCTTGACCACCCTCACCAGCCATTACTCTTTGCAACACTAGCCGAAGAAGAAGAAAGAAACGATGGCAACAGAAAGAACACAGAGAAACGGTGAAGAAGAAGTACCTGGTACTCCTTCGACAAAAACAGAGATAATGGCGAAGAACGGCGACTGCGATTGCGGAAATGCCGGCGGTGAGATAGAACGAAAACGAGAAAGGTGCAGAGAGTAGAGAGAGGACGAAGCGTAAAGAGGAAGCTAAAATGCAAAAGTGCGCGAAGGGGGAGAGAGGCAAATGTTTTAAACAAAACCGGAAATGACACGAAGGCACAAAACAACAAAACGGGAAGGGCATTAAATGAGGCCCATAATGACGGGTACATCCCATCATTGTAAACCATCACCACCCATTAACGCGCCACCCACGCGTTTCGGGAAACGAGGCGACACTTATGACACATGGCGTTGCGCCAAAGAAGCATAAGCGAAGAGTTGCGACCCTTCACTGAACTTGACACTAACTCCTCGACCCATGACCTTTAGAGCTCGGGGGGCTAGTGTACTATCCGTACTGCGAAGCCGAGCTTGAGCTCGGTACTAAAGCGCGGATTGACATCGGATATACGCCACATGACATCGGCCAAAACAAAAGCCCACCATCTGAACGAGCCACAACTGACCTCAGGCCCAGATAAACCCTAATTCACACTAAGGTACGTGCACTACATATACGAGATCCATATACCCACAAATACTAACTTTAGCATCGGAGTCTCTTTTGCAGGTACCACTCCCACTTCGGAGCAGCCGACGTATCCAACGAAAGAGGCTCACCAATCTTGCCTAGCAGATCGTCCTCCTTAACCGATCTCCAGTAAGAACAGTATTTGTCATTGAAAAAGACTTTAATACCCTTAATATTTATACATAGTGTAATATATAAAAGTCTAATTATATTGTTAACAAAAGACCAAAAAAAAAAAAAAACCCCAAAAATTATATTTGTTAACACACGCACACACAACTCCTATATACTTAATTTCTTATTCAGAAGCAGTAAAAATTCTTATTCAGAAGCAGTGAAAACTAATAGAACGAAAAAGTTAAATAAATCCATAAAAAACAACTCAGTTTCATGCGCCCTCAACCAGTTGAGACTAGATTCGCTGCCTGTTCTACGAACTTTCCAGAAGACAACTATCACTTTTACTCTAAAGAATGACCATTTTCTTCATCTTGATCTTAATCTTCTTCTAGTTTCGTTTCTCAATCCACTGTTCCTGAGATATCGCATGGCTCACGATAGCATCGGTACCGATTCACCTCTCTCTCGTCGTATAGTTCGTGCTTTCCTCCACTTCCTCAACTCTGGTATTCTTCTCCTCATTCATTCCCCACTAAGCAACACTACCCAATTTAATTCCCACTGCAATATTCTTTCTTTTTCGCGTATTTATGCTTTGCCAGCGATATTATGAACTGGGTCGCTTTATTTTTTCGTGATTAATTATGTTCGAGTTGCCAATTGTCGTTTCAATTCGATACTATGTGACAGCGTAGATAAAATTGTTGTTTGTTTTCAATTGGGTTGTAAATTTCGTTTCTTGATTCTTTAATTTTTAGTTATTTTATTTTTTATTGCGATCAATGGATGCTCTCTAATGTAATTTGGTTTCTGTGGAATAGTTGAGCCGGGTCCTGGGATTGATGCTGAGGGGATTGAGGTTGCTAGAGACTGTTTGACAGAGGCTTTTAAGCTGAATTCATCTCCTGTGGCTGGTGATACTGTGAAAACTGATTCATTGATTGACATATTCAAGTCTCTTGAAGCTAACAAGCAATGTGAAACTAGTAAGTCAGACGTTGGTCCTCGACCGGATTCTGCAGCTGCTGCTTCCAGTTCATTCTCGGGTGAGAATCCTGCTTGTGTGAAGAATCATTCTGAGGCGTCAAAATCTACGGTTAATTCACTTCACACTTACCCTCTTATGGTCCTTGCATTAGGCCAGTTTATTCATGTCAAACTCCAATTATGCATATCACTGAGGTGAAATTTCAATTCTAATTAGAGGCACTAACAACACCTATGGTACTGCATGCAAGTTTTATGCTTGAGTGTTTCACCATGTATCCAAGTATCCAACTATTGAAATTATTGGGATTTAGGTGAAGGAGGAAAACAGAGAACAAACTTCGAAAATCCATTCTTTTGATGAAAAAGATAAACTTTAGCATAAGATAAAGTTGGCCTGTGCAAGGTGCACATTTCAAGCTCAAGAGTCCTTTGCTTGTGGGAGTGTGATATAAAACAATTCATGTGCCTTACCAAATAGCTTAAACTTTTATGATGGATGGTTCATGACTGTGATATATATTGGTGGATCAATTTAAAGGATTTATTGTAACCTTTCTAGCATGCTTGACGAGTTTATTGGTTTGAGGAGTGTTAGGAATACTTCTCTAACACACTCTTTTACTGGTTAAATTTGTTTGAAAATTACAAAATCAGAAGAGTGATTCATTAAATAAGATGCGAGATCCATAAAACGTAGTGATTTCCAATAAATTTCAAACAATGAAAGAGAGTGTATTCAAGAGGGTATGGTAGAGTGTGTCCACGATAATTGTTTGTCACATTGATGCTGAATTATTTCATGATGTTTCTCTCTAATTTCACTGTTTTAGCAGCAATTTGCTCTACCACATTAATTTAAAATTGTGTAGTGCTGGAATTTGATTCAGCTCTGATTTATTTTACATGTTACTTGATCAGGATGAAGATTCAACACAGGGCGCTCATGTTTTTGGTAGGATAATCTGTCTTCTTTATTTTATTTGAAATTTGAGTTATTATATACTTAAACATTTATGTATAGAATGTTTTTATATTGTTTATGATCTTGAGGTTGTCAATGAGGGGACACTTTTTTTTGGGACAAGTTTATAGTTTTGCTACATTTAAATTCTTTTATGTTGTTCCTTGAGCATGCTCTGGGGTGTGGACCCCTTCAACAAGCATTATTACAGATATAATTAAGTAAATGATTTTTGTTTTCATTTACATGTCAAGGAGTAACACAATACTTCCTTTGGATAATGACATTTATGAAAATAAGAATTATAGTTTTGTAACATATTTTGAAAGACAATTTCTTGATGTGTTTAACATATTTATGATTTAATCTGATTGTGAATGGGTAAAAGGGCAGTGATAAAATTTTCTTGTTAATTATAACGATAGCTCTACCCTCCTAGGTTTTTAAGAAAAGGGTGCAGCCAGTGCTTGTTGTGGTGCAATGGGCAATGCTTGAGGGCCCCATTAGCGAGCTACTGTCTATGATTTTCTCTTTTGAAGATTAATTTGATATCATGTGGGCCAATGAACCAGGTATCAGATATGGGACAACAGCAATGTACTGTTTTAGTTAACTATTATAAAAAAAATTATTGTTAATCTAGAAGAGTCTGTTTATATTTTTTATGGTTTCATTCCACAAAAACTGTCTTTGTTTGATAATATTTGGGTTGTCTCATTTTTGTTATTTGGATTTCAAGAAAAGTTCCTAGATTTCATTTTTTTCTTCCTTTGGGTCTTTGTTAATGTGTGTTCCTAGATCATGGGGTTAGAAATAAAAAAATTAGTAAATATTAAATTAAACGTAATATTTTGAAAAACCAAGAAGCATGTAGTACTTTCTTCTTTATTGGTAATAAATGCTATTTTTTTATTCCTTAACATGTTATCATTAAGATGCACAGTTATAAAACATTTTCTTTTGGGGATAAAAGAAGATATTTATTAAAACCAAGAGAATATGGTTCTGCAGAGTTAGAAGGATACAAAATCCTTTTAAAAGGAGATGATAACAACCAAGAGAGAGTGGTTTGTGTATATTATGCATGGAGTGATCCCCCTCCCCCCCTCCTCTTGAATTTTTGGGTTCAGTAGTCGAGTTCCTCTACAGGTTCAGTTCAAATGGAATCTTGGCTTTAGTTTTATAAACGATCTTTGTGTGTATTAGAGAAGAGACTAGGATAATAAATACTTTTATTATTTTATTGTATTGATACAGTGTATTTTCTGTTTTCTGTTAAATGCTGCCAACTCATCAAGTTGGTTAGATTTGTTAGGTCTATATATGTAAGTGATATCTCACGGATATCACTATCTTGTTTTTCATCAATAATACAATCTACTGAAATTCTCTCAATCCTTTCTCTCATATGGTATCATCGTGAGCACGGTGAGATCTGGGTTTCTATTTTTCTGCTTGCGCCCTCTTTGTGTGGTTTTGCTTCTCGCGCCCTCTTTGCGCGATTTTGTTCTTCGCGCCCTCTTCGCGCGCTCTTTTTTTTTCGCTCGCGCGATTTTCTGCTTCGTTCGCGACTCACGCCCTCTCTGTACGATTTGCTCGCGTCCCTTCTTGATTCTTGTCTTCGACTTTGTCGTGCTGCTTCTGTTTGTTTTTTCTGCTCGCACTGGTCCTGCGCAACCCGTTGAGACTCTTCTTTTCCAATCTTGCTCCAATGGCCTCCGCTTCCGCAACCCCTGACAATTCTGTTTCGCATACATTCTCCCAATCTGTCACATGCAAACTGGATGAAAAGAACTTTATGACCTGGCAGCAACAGGTTACTGTTGTGATTCGTGCACATGACCTTGAACGGTTTGTCGTCAATCCTAAGATTCCGCTGAAATTTCTTACTGCTGAGGATCGTGACGCCAATGCTATCAATCCCGAATACACTGCCTGGGATTGCAAGGATTCGCTGCTGTTTTCCTGGCTCCTCGCAACACTTTCTGAATCAATTCAGGCTCACGTTGTCTCCTGTCGTCACTCGTACCAGATTTGGGATCTGGTGTTTCAACATTTTCAGTCACTCACCAAAATCAAAGCGACACAAATACGTCTAGAGCTTCGCACCATCAAGAAAGGAACAAGATCGTGTTCTGATTATCTCCTTCGCATCAGAACCATCGTTGAGACTCTTGCTTCGATTGGTAGTCCCATTTCGACCCGCGAACATGTTGAGTGCATTCTTGGTGGTCTCCCACCAGAGTATGACTCTCTAATTTCTACAGTCACTGCTTTGGTCAGTCGTGATGATATCCTTTCCCCCGCTGAACTTGAGAACATGATTCTTGCTCAGGAAGCAAGACTTGAACAAGCAAAGGCCGTTGTTATTCAAGAACCCTTGTCCATCAATCTTGCTCAAACTACTTCTATCCCAAATGGTGTTCCAAATGCCAATTTGGCTTTCCAGCAGCCTCAGATGTCAAACTCTCAGCCCAATACGTTTCAGAATTTCCCGTCTCAATCCCAAGGTGGCTTCAATAATCATGATGGAGGACGTGGCCGTGGCTCTCGTGGTGGACGAAATCGTGGTTCTGCTGTTCAATGCCAAATCTGTCACAAACGTGGACATGAAGCCTCCACGTGTCACCAGCTTTCCAATAGCTTATCATTGGGTGGTTTTAGATTGCCCTTCCATTCACTGTTTGCTCCTTACCCCACCTATGGTCCCAGTTCTCAACATGGGTATGTGCCTCAGAATCCTGGCCCTGGTGCTGTTCCCTACTATGGATCTGTCAATATGCTTGGACATTCAGGTCCAGTTTCGTGGCCTCCTTATCCCTTGGGTGGCTCTTTTTCTGGTCCTGGTCTCCCACCTCCTGGATTCACCTTCCCTGCAGCGACATCCAACCAGTCAAGTCATTCGCGTGCTGCATCCCCTGCTCAACATGCTGCTCCAACTCTAAACACTGCTATAGCATGGATTCCAGATTCTGGTGCTTCTCACCATGCAACCCCTGACCCTCAATATCTCTTGCAGAGTGCTCAATTCACTGGTGCAGAGCACATTGCTATGGCCAATGGCCAAGGTACATCTATTGCCTCAATAGGTTCTAATATGTTTCGGTCCCCTATGCATCCTTCCACAATTTTGTCTCTCAAAGACCTATTACTTGTTCCCACTTTAACCAAAAACCTAATAAGTGTTTCAAAAATTGCTATAGACAACAATGTCTACTTTGTTTTCTATCCTCATTGCTGTTTTGTCAAATCACAGGATTTGAACGAGACTCTTCTTGAAGGGAAACTTGGTGAAGATGGTCTCTATCATTTTCACCCACATCTGGTGAAGAAGGAATCTATCAATATTGATATTGAGAAGAATTCAGCTCTTCTTAAATCTGATCCTTGTATTTTTCTTTCTAAAAAATGTAATCATGTTGTTTCCAATACCTATAAACAGTGGCACTTACGGTTAGGGCATCCTCATCATGAATCCCTAACCAAAGCCTTACAAACTTGTAATATTCATCTTCCCACTGCTAATAAAATTTTTGATTTTTGTGACTCATGCTATATTGCCAAGTCTCATAGACTTCCTTCTCAATCTTCCACCACTGTTTATTCCAAACCACTTGAATTCGTTTTTCTATATGTTTGGGGACCTGCATCATTAGAATCTAGTTGTGGTTATTTGTATTTCTTAACGTGTGTTGACGCTTGTACCAGATACATGTGGATTTATCTCCTTCGTAGAAAATCAGACGTGTATTCCAATTTTCAAAATTTTAAAGCTCTGGCTGAGAAACAGTTCCAAACGCCTCTCAAATCTGTTCAAACAGATGGTGGTGGTGAATTTCGCACTTTAATTCTGTTTCTACAACAAGAAGGCATTATTCATAGACTTACTTGTCCCTATGCTCATCATCAAAACGACACTGTTGAACGGAGACACAGACATGTAATTGAACTTGGATTGGCAGTGCTTCACCATTTGGCCTTACCACTAAAATTTTGGGATCATGCCTTTTTAACTGCTACCTACTTAATCAACAGACTACCCACCTCTTCTGTTGGTTTTCAATCACCCTATAAACTGATTCATAACAAGGATCCAGATTATACATTTCTAAAGGTCTTCGGTTGTTCTTGTTTTCCATTACTTAGACCCTACAATCAGCACAAGATTCAACCTCGGTCAGAGGAGTGTCTATTCTTGGGATACTCTCCTAATCATAAGGGTTACAAATGTTTAAGCAGGTCTGGCCGAATCTATATCAGCAAAGATGTGATATTCAATGAAGGCAGATTTCCCTATAATGATCTTTTCATTACAAAACCCCAAGCCTCTATCCCTGCCACCTCTGTTTCTACACTTACCTCTCTTGTTTGTTCACACAACCTATCTTCCTTTACCATAATACCACCTGCTATTTCTGCCAGTTCTGGCTCCTCAGAATCCAATTTCCTTCCCTCTTCTACGCCTGCTAACATCTCCACTACTTCCACTACTGCTTCATCTTCTTCAAATTCACCTCCAGTCATACCTCCTAATGTTCATCCCATGACCACTTGCTCAAAAAATGGGATTATTCAACCCAGAATTAACCCTACACTTTTGTTGTCTAATGTCGAACCAAAAACGGTCAAAACTGCTCTTACTGATCCTAATTGGCTTGCTGCCATGCAAGCTGAAATCACTGCCTTACATGACAACCGTACATGGACATTGGTTGAATTACCTTCTAGCAGAAAACCCATTGGCTGCAGATGGGTTTTCCGTATTAAAGAGAATCCTGATGGCTCAATTAACAAGTACAAGGCCAGGCTTGTTGCCAAGGGCTTTCATCAAAATTTGCTAAAGACAACAATGTCTACTTTGTTGTAGTAATAATTAGGAGATTTGTTCCAGATTTGTTCTATAATAATTAAGAGATTTGTTCCAGATTTGTTCTATAATAATTAGGAGATTTGTTCTGTAATTAGGACAGATTTGGCTGATTTGATTTGTACAGATTTTATTTGAATATTTCCTTAATTAGGAGACTAGTAGTCTATATAAATGTATTTTGTACAGACTCTCAATAATCAAGCAATTCAAATATTATTCAAATAATATTCTGTTCCTTTTTTCAAGTTGGTATCAGAGCTCCCGATCCAGGGGGCTCTGCTTCCGCATCGTCTAGGCAGCCTTCATTGCTGCGAATTGAATCTGTTCACTTTTAGCACCTTCCCAGCCGCTGTTCTTTGACCGAGCCACCACAGACTTGGTTGCCAACTATCCCTGATTCTGTCCCAAGGGTAGTTTTAAACGCAGTTACTGTTCACCAGACTCCTATTTCTGCATTTTATCATTCTCCCAGTATGTCTGAAGATAAGACAGCCCCTGTTTTGAGTACCAACGATTTACAGGTTCTGCAAAGCCCTTATTGCCTTGATGGGTGAAATTATTTACAGTGGGCTCAATTGGTTCGCACAACCCTCAAGGGACGAAAGAAGTTGAATCACATTGAAGGAGACCCTCCAGCCAAAACGGACCCAAAATATGAAGCTTGGGATGATGAAGACTCTC